CTGCGGGCAGGAAGCCTGTGGCTGAGCCAACAGGAGCATCATGAATTATTCAGGGCTGAGATGGCTCCATAGTGGTTGGCTGGGGGAGGTGGGTGACTCGGTCTCCTTGAAGGCACCATGTGCAAGTATTCGGCGCACGCCGTGTCCCAGCCCTGCAGGCACATCCCCCTGCTCCCCGGGGATGCTCCCAGCACTGGGGATGTGGCACAAGACACAGCAGGTGCCAGGGCAGATGATGGTGTGCGGTAGGAGCAGGCTCCCATCAGGCACTGCTTGTGCCCCTGGGTTTGTGCTGCATCACTGGTGTTTACCTGGTGCCAGCTGGCTGTGGGGACGTCTCCAGGCAGCACCAAGAGCTCCAGGTCCCCGGGGCTCCGCAGCCTGCCCTCCTCCTGGCGCTGCACAGCACGTGCTGTGTGTTCCCTCTGCCAAGCTGGGTGCACCACAGCTGCCCCAACCTGTGCAAGGCGCACTGTGGTCCCCAGTCAGCAGCACAGCACGGCCATCCTGGGGTGACACAGCCCCGGGGACAGCAGTCTCCCTATAAACAAGGTGCGCAGACACTGTTCCCATTCAGCCCTGTGCAAGGACTCAGGGCTGGGTTGGGCTGTGCCATTCCGGTGCTGCCGGCGGCCTCGGCCCCTCCGGAGCCCCCGGTCTCTGCCAGTGCTGGCCGCAGGGCGGCCCTGCTCCAACAGGCAGCGCTTTGTGCGGCACGGGGCTGAGGAACAGCGCTGCCTTTGTCCTGTGCAGGTGAAACGGCCGCACGTGGGCTGCGCTGTGCCGGGAGCGATCTGCAGCCCTGAGGCTGAGAGCGGGGGGCAGCTGGCGGGGCTGTCATCTCCAGCACGGGGCACGGATGGGGTCCCAGCGGCGATGCTGGTGCCTGGCAGGAATGTGGACTGGGGATACTGAAAGCACGGGGAGCGTGGCTGAGGACTGCGGGCTCACACAACTCCAAGGGGTGAGAGCAACGATGGAGGAAAGTGACACTGTGCAGGTGAGCGTGGACTCAGCATAAGAAATGCTCTGTGTTCCTGGGCTCGGCTTGCTCCCCTCCTCACTACAGCCAGGGCAGGAAATGGTCATGCAGCGTCCAGCGGAGGGTCCTGCCTCTACCAGAGGACGTGCAGTGCCAGCACTGCCAGGACAGCCTGTGGTGACAGCAATGCCATGCGTGCTGCAGGCTGGGACTGCCATCTGCTGGCACACAACACGGCCCTGTCCCTTCCCAGCCACTGCACACTGCCAGCAAAGCTGGGATGGTGCAGGAGGCACAAACAAGCGCACATCGTCATCATTTATCAGCACTTTTACTACAAACAGGTCCGTGGCCCCACAGCCTCACAGGCAGGCCCCTGCCTTCTGTAGGGCGCCCACTCCGAGGTGCTGGGAAGGGCGCAGGACTCTGTACTGGCAGCAAAGTGGGAACAGGATGACAGTCCCCACTGAGCCCCAGGGTTCCACATCCCCAGTGCTGCCTGCGCGCCCAGCTGACCGTCACAAGGGCGGTGCAATCCTAACGCTGCTCCACACGGGGGTCCAGGGGTTGCGTCCCCTCACTGGGACAGGTGGGCTCAGCCTGGTACCCTACTGCTAGGCTGGGTGCCTCCCCGTGCCGCGTCCCGCTGCTGCTGCTTGCGCCTCTGGATGTCCCGGTAGGCCTGGATGACACGCGCTCGCTCCTCCTGCACGATGCGCTGGCGAGCCAATGATACTGGCACAGTGGGGGCTGCCCGGCTCTGGCCCAGATGAGGCGTCAGCAGGAGCTGCTTTCGACCGGCCTGCAGGCAGAGATGGGATGGGTCAGGGAGGCAGAGACAGGCACAGAGCCCCGTGCCCCCAAAACCTCACCTTCTCGGTGGGACCCCCACTGCGGGGCCGTGAGGTGATGGTGGGTGGCTCTGTCACAACTTCACCGAATGCCACTGGGTCTGGGAGAGAACCTGGTGTCAGGGAGGATGCTGCTCCCACCTCTGCACATGGGTCACTGCAGTCAGCCTCCCTGCATCATTCCCACCTTGGAACAGGCTCTTCTCCAGCAAAGCCTCTTTCTTCTCCTCCTTCTTTTTCCGCAGTTTGTCCAGCTTTTTGTTCTGAAACCTGAAGAGCTATCTTACAACCCACAGGGAGGAAGAGAGCTTCCACCCCATGGAATCTCCTCGAAAGTCAAGCTCTGCTGTTTTCCCCTGCCTGGCCTAGCACCAGGAGTGTACAGTTGCTCCAAGGGCTGGGCTCAGATCCAGCCCTGTAGAGCTGGGTCTCAGAATCAGAGCACGGCCCTGGCTGCCCCAGCCCTGCCTCAGCAGCCGTGCTGGTTTTGCTCTCACTCTTTCTTTCTCTGAGACTTCTGCGGCGCTGCTGCCTCCTTCTCAGGCTCCCGTTGCACCTGGTTCTTGCTGAGGACCAGCACATGCTGCACCTCCCGCTCCATGCGGCACACGTAGGAGCGCTCCGACTCCCCTCTGCGCCGACGGAACCTGGGCACAGGGATGTCCTCCTGTGCCTCGGTCCCCTGGGAACGCTGTGGCTTCTCTAGGAGAGACAGACAGCAAGATTATAGGCAGGGACAGTCTGGGATGGGGACATGTCAGAGGATGCAGGCCCCCACCTGCTGCCCGCCTTGCCCGGGCCTTGGGGTGCTTCATGGCCTCACGGCTCTGCATGAGCTCCCGCAGGCGGAAAGGGATTTCCTGCTCGTCGGGGTGTTTGGGCTTCAGGTTGACCAACGCCTTCTCCTTCCTGGGGGATAACGGGAACGGTATGGGCTGTGACGGGGCATCGGGGAGCCCGGTTCAGCGGGACCCAGCCGGCCCCGGGAGCCTGCCCGAGCCCCACCGCACCGGGCACTGACCTGCCGCGTGGCGTAGCGGCGGCTGGGCCCCTTCCCGGGGCCGGTCCCTGTTCCTTTCCATGTCCCGCTCTCAGTCCTTGTCCCTTTCTTTTTCCCGGTTCTGATCCCAGCCCCTTTCCGCGTCCCGCTCCCTGTCCCTTCTTTCTCCCCAGCCCCATGGCCCCGCCGCTCCCCACGCGGTCTCCACTCCCTCTACTGCCTCCGCTTCCGGTTGCCCTCCGACGCCTCCGCCCCGCCTCCCTCTTCCGATTGGCTGTGCTCCGCTGCAGCGCTCTCATTGGCTAACCTTGCCCAGAAACTGGGCTACCATTGGATGAGAGAGCCGTCGCTCGGAACAGGAAGGGGGGCGGGCCGTTGCCGGGGCGCTGCGGCAGGATGTTACTGCGGGCGGCGCGGGCGGCGCGGGGCCTGGCGGGGAGGGGAAGGGAGGTGAGCGGGGATGGGGCGGGGCTGCAGCCCGGAGGAGGGGCCTGGGGGGACCCGAGGGGGTCGGGGGTAGGGGGGGAGGGGGGGGGGGGGGGGGGGGGGCCGCAGTGGGGAATTTGGGGGCTGTAATGACGGTTTGGGAGGCTGCGCTGGGGTTCTAGGGGCTGTAGGAACTGCTCTGAAGGTTTTGGGGGCTGTAATGGGGGTCTGGGGTCTGCACCGAGGGGTTTGGGGGCTGCACTCGAGTTCTGAGGGCTCTAATGGTGGGTCGGAGGGCTGCACCAGGGGCCCAGTGCTATATGGGGCTGGTCGGGGGGGGAACAGGACTCTGGGTGCGAAGGTGTAGCAGAGCCCCAGGGTGCTGTGGGGGGGGGATATCACTCAAGGCAGAGTGCTGGGGGCAGCCCCCCCATGCAGCACCACCGTAGAGCCGTCCCTTGCAGGAACAGCAGCGCAGAGCCCCCCACCCCAGCACCTTCTGCAGCTATGGGAAGCGTTCAGACACCCCGAGAAGCGACTGCCAGACTGGAGCCCCCCAGGGTGAGGGGGAAACCATGCGGGGGGCTGAGACCCCCTATCCACAGCCCCCTGAGCTCCCACCGCCCACCAACTGCTGCATGAGCGGCTGCCACAACTGCGTCTGGATCGAGTACGTGGAGCAGCTGCTGCAGCACTATGGGGATGGTGGGGAGCGGGCGCTGGCGGCCGTGGAGCAGCATGTGGAGGATGAGAGCATCAAAGCGGTCCTGAAGCTGGAGATCAGGCTGCGCATGGGGACGGACTGAGCCCTGTCAGCAGCTCAAAAACTGGTGAGGAACTTCCTGCTTGAGCTCCAGGAGTCTCCCCGGGACAAGAGGATTGGGACACGACGTACCTGTGGGCTTTTGGATGTTGGTTTGTGAGGTGGGGATTTAGTTACAGTGTTTGTTTGCATCAGGCTGGAGGGATTCATCAAGCACGTGCACCCCACGTGTAGCCCCAGCATTGACGATGCAGGGGTGGTGTCAGCACTCTGTGCTTTTATCTGAAAATCCCTGCTGAGAGCAGGGTCCTTCCCACTGCTCCTGCCTCGTCCTTGCAGCATAACAGCAGCCTGGTGACGGAAATGGGCTGTGGTGTCACACTGTCCTCCCCACGCTACACTAAGCCTCTTAGGGGCTTCTCCGTAACTGCTGTCTGGAGGGGTTTCCAGCCCTTTCCCAGTGCTGTAGGATTTGCTGGGTGCAGCTGGAGCACGTGGGCCCTGCAACGTCCCATCAAGGGCAGCTCCTCACAGTGCTGCTTCTTCCTCATTCATCTCTGCCTTGAAACTCCTTAAACTTCACCTTGAGGCATCACCTCACCAAATCCTGCCCAGCTGAGCACAGCCTCGGCCTGATGACACGCAGAACCTCATCCCATCCAGCCAGTGCACCGAACGCCACCAAGACTGGCTCCTGAGTGGCATTTGCTAATGAAGCTCGGTCTAGGAGCATTAATTAACAACAGGACACTGGCCCTTGCTGTAAAAGAGGCCGGTTCTGCCAGCTTCATATGAAACACCTCTGGATCCATGTAATCCTATTTGCTGAAACCTAACTAATTGCCATTAGTGAAAGGGGCTGAAGTTCAATTAAAGTGTGCTGAGATTATACCTTTTTGTAATTGCTTTAGTGCTGGGATTACAGGAGGCTTTGGAGTGATACTGCCATGCAGCAGGGCAGAGTGGGCAGTGGGACACTTTCACCTCATTTCAGGCTGGTGAAGCAGAGCCTGCAGTGCCCTCAGAGTGTCTGTGCTCAGGTGTCCTCAGTGACACATGAGATGAGCTGGTGACCTTCGTGTTTTGTGATCCCGATTGGAATGGTGTCAGGGATGGTGTGGGCATGCTGTGCTTGGTGCCAGCACCATCATGAAGTGCTGCCCTGAGCGCTCTGCTGCCTATGGTCCCATCCCTGTCCCCATGGTGCAGTGGCTCGAGGCATAGGGGTGTCCCTTCCAGGGATGATGCAGGACATCCGCATGGGTGCTCTGCAGCTGTTCCCTGCTCCAAGGCCATGCTCTGTGGGGTGAGGCAGCAGTGCCAACACACAGCCCATCCCCGTGGCGTTAATCCTGACACCCCCTCCCCATGCACGCACATACTCCCACCCTCCTCCTCACAGGCACTTGGGGAAGGACACTAGATTACCCATTTGAGAAGAAGGGACTTAATCCTATTATCCCCGAAGAGGATAAATCTGCCAGCCCCCAGCCGCCACCCAGAGCACTTGGAGGACTTGTGGAGCAGGTTGCAGGGAGTCGTTTGGAGCAGCACTGGCCTTGGGGACGGTAAGTGATGGCTTTGCTATGTGTGAGACAGCACTCAGACCTGTAGGCACTGGGGCTGCAGTGCATGGCATTGCCCAGCTGGAGCCACTTGGGCATTGCCCAGCTCACCTCCTGCACTTGCAGATGAGGCTCCATGCCGAGTGCTGCCAAGCTGGCAGTGAGAGCTGCCTGTGCTACAAAGCCCCAGTGCTTGGCAGGTTGCAGGATGGAGCCCTGTGCTGCCCTGGGATTTCAGGATCAGCTGCAGCCCCTCCAGACCACAGCGCTCAGAGCCCTGTGAGCCACACCTGAGCATCATCCAGCTGCAAGCCAGCCCTGTGAGCAGCTTGCAGCTCACTCCTGGCACACAGCTGCACTGCCCTCAACTCACAGTGGCAGCTGTGATGCCCATCTCTGCAGTTATGTATCGTGGTGGGGGCATCCAGTGGTGCACATCTACCTGCAGTGGGGAGAAAGGGCTGCAGGCATTGCCCCAAGGAGTGCAGGGGCTCAGTTTGCCCCCCCTGGGTGCCCTTTGCTGTCTTTGGGGTAAGGAGATTAGCGGGGTCTGAGCTGGCCTAATTCCAGGGAGAGGAGGGAAAGTGCCCACCCCCAGAGCAGCCCGGAAAGCGGATCAGCTCTGCAGGGCTCGTGGCAGGGTGGGAACAAGGGCACCCGGATGGCATGGCACAGCACATCTCTGCACTGCGATGGCTGCAGCTACGTCAAGGTTCACCCCAGTGCCCCATGTCCTCCCTGTGCCAGGTGTGAGGAGCCATCCCGTGTCAGCGCCAGAGCCACAGGGACAGCTGCGACGCAGGGCAGGCTGCTGGCCCTGCTACAGCCATGAGCTTGGAGCCCCACAAACCAGAAGTCAAGTCAGCCACCCGGGTGACTGGCGGACCTGCCACCCCCCGAAAAGGACCACCTAAGTTCAAGCAGAGGCAGACACGGCAATTCAAGAGCAAGCCACCCAAAAAAGGGGTGCAGGGGTGAGTAGGGCTGAGCACCAGGGCCCAGTGTGGGATACGCCTGAAGGCACCCAGGTGATGCTGCTCAGGGCTGATGCATAGTGAGGACAGACACCTGGTTTCTTTGCAGGTTTGGCGATGACATCCCAGGCATGGAGGGGCTAGGAACAGGTATGTGGTCCCCATTCCTTTCTGCTGCAGCTGCAGGGCTTGCAGCAGGGCTGGGACTTGTGCTGATGCATCTTCTGCTCTCCACAGATATCACCGTGATTTGCCCTTGGGAAGCCTTCAGCCACCTGGAGCTGCACGAGCTGGCTCAGTATGGCATCATCTAGGCTAGCTATGGCCACCACCACCTGTCCTATAGCAGTGCTTTTTTAGAAACTGCCCCATCCACATAGCGGGGCATAGCTTGGAGAAACACTCATTAAAACCTGAAATAAACACAGGAGTTTGGTGTGATGATCTGGGCAAGAAAGCCTCTACGTGTGCTGTGAGGGTGTGCAACCACACAGGAGAGGATAGCATGGAGAGGAGATAGACCAGACCCAGGCAGGGTTCAGATTTATTATGGGATGCACAGGTACAACAAAGGAGGACAGGAAGGAGAGCGCAGGGAGCTCAGCATCCTCTCCAGCCCCACAGCACACCCTCAGCCCCGTGCCCCACCAGGCGCAATGCCTGCCAGCACTTTCAGTGCCAGGAGCAGCCCGGTGGCCTCCAGCAGCACCAGCACAGCCGCACCGGTGGCAATGCCTCCAGCCTGCGCACGCAGCCAGGCACCCAGCTGAACCACACAGCCCCCCAGGTGCACCACGCCAGCAGCCGCCATGTCCCCCAGCTGCAGCACCCCAAAGGCACATTGGTCGTTAGTGATGGAGCCGTTCTGCCGTGGATCCAGGCAGCAAGAGGCCGGGACGCTGCACGCCTGCACGCCGGGTGCACTGCAGTTGAAATACCTGCAGGACACAGAAGGAGAAGTGCTGGGTGCCTGCTGCTTTCTTGCTAGCCCTATCCATGCCCCCACCTGCCCCCGGCTTCACTCACGGGTTGCTCTCCCAGTCACGGTAGGAGCTGAGCCCGCAGCACCGCAGGCTGCGCTGCACCTCGTCCACCAGGAAGCGCAGGTCGGGCTCCTCCTGGTAGCGCAGCAGGCAGAGCAGCAGGGCATCCTGCAGTGCGTCCCGCAGCCGCTGCCGTGCCACCAGCAGCAGCAGTCCTCCCAGCGCCTCCAGCCCCACAAAGGCCAACACGGCCCCCACGAAGAAGCGCAGCAGGCAGGCGCTGGAGCGGAGGGCACCCAGGCAACCAGCCAGAGACACGGTGCTGGCCCCCAGCCCCGCCAGCACGAAGAGCAGCATGGGGTCAGAGCCCAGTGGGGCCAAGCGCTCGCCCTGCAGCCAGCCCTTGGCCAGCAGCCCCCAGATCCCTATGGCCAGGGTCAGCAGGCCCAGCAGGAGGAAGAGGAGGTTCCAGAGGAAGGCTAAGTGCCGCACACAGTGGCTGAAGGCACTTGGCTTGCAGAGGGTGGGGCACCACTCCTCTGGGTCGTGCTTGGCCACAGGATCATCTGCATCCCCCAGCAGCAAGATGTCATCATCGTCATCGGAGAATTGGGGCAGCTCCACCAGCCGGGACGTCTGCATGGGGCAGAAGAACCACTTGGCAGCTGCAGGGCCCACAGACCCCCAGGACGCTTCCACAGTGGTACCCCGCCCTCATACCCCCCATGTACTCTACCTAAGGGGGCTGTAGGCTCCTTCAGCTACCACACATCCCACTGTGGCACAGGGAAACAGCCGGGTATGGGGCATTCGTGGGGTCCATGAAGATGGAAGACCACAGAGGTGAGCTCCTCTGGAACACCTGCCCCTAATAGGAACCCCCATTTATCCCTATAGGGACCCCCAAGGATGGAGTGTGGGGTCATCTCCTTTCCTCCTTGGGGATCTGTGAGTTGAGGGACATGCTTTCCCAAGGGCTAAGTCCTTAACCAGGATTCCTATGGCGATCCCTCTCAGGGCCATGACATGGGGTCACCCCACAGTCCCCTCCACAGCAGGGTTAGGTTCCACCCCACAGCACGGGGCCCTTATGCGTTACCTGGGGTAGCAGCCGGCTGCTCTCCCTGCTTCCTACCTCCCCATAGGGCCTGAAAAACTGGAACAGCTTCTCCCTGCCCAGCATCATGCTGCTTCTCAGGGCTGCTGCAGTCACACTCCCATCATGTGAGAGGCTGCGGCCGGGGCTTAAATAGGGCTGCTACTGCCAGCCCCACAGCTGGGCCCACTTGGGTCCCCTCCTGTAGTTTATGGCTGGCACCATAAACAGGCAGGAAATGAGGGTCTGGGGGGGTGAAGTGTGAAGTGTGAAGTGTGAAGTGTGAAGTGTGAAGTGTGAAGTGTGAAGTGTGAAGTGTGAAGTGTGAAGTGTGAAGTGTGAAGTGTGAAGAAGTGTGAAGTATCTGTGGTCTCAGAGCAGCACTGGGGAGAACGCGTTCAGGGCTGGAGCCTTCTCAGAGGGATCCGCCCCGACCCCCACAGCCCCTCGGTGGGGATACGGAGACACCGAGAGACCCCGCACCAAGGGGGCGATGCGCGTCGGCGGAACGAAAAGACAGGGGCGCACCGCTCGGGGGGCGGTTATGTGTGTGGCACCGAGGCGCTACGGGGGACCGGGGAGCGACGTACCGCCCCGCCCAGCGTAGGAACCCTCTGGCGGCGGAACGCCGGGCTGCGGGATCCGGGAGACGGCGGCGGAGGAGGCTCGGGCAGCGGCGGGCCGGGCCCCGTGGGGCGGCACCGGGCCGGAGAGAGCCGAGGGGAGCGAAGGCCTCGAGGCGTAGCTGTGAGGGGGCCGTGCGGGCAGCGCAATGGCGGAGACGATCGTGAGTGCGGCCCGGAGGTGGCGGTGTGGGGCGGGGGAGGGGCGATGAGGCAGCAGATTCCTGTGGGGCGGGGTAGGCCGCAGTGGGGCTGCGTCGGTCGGGGTAACGCGGGGCCCGGGCCGGGCCGCCCGCAGGGACAGGAGCGGAGGGCGGGCGTCCAAAGCGCCGTGCGGTGCTCCGTTCCGCTTCCTGCCCCTGTGCGCGGCGTGCAGAGGGTAAAGGCGACCCGCCGGGGATGCTGGCAGCTTCCCGTGTCGCCCCGGTCTGCCTTTTCCTCCTGTCAGCATCCCGTCGTGGCTCTGTGGCTCTTCTCTGCACGTCGCTGCCCTGTCCTCAGGAAGGCGGGGGCACCCAGTGCATATTTGCTCCTTCCCGAGCTCTCGTTTTGCTGCTGGTTTTCTTCTCCCGACTAAAGGCTGCAGCAGAACTAGCGGTGTTTCACCGCTGGGACTCTCGGTCCCTCGGAGCAGGGATTCGGGTCCCAGCGCTGTGCAGGTGCCCATTAACGCTGCTTGGAGCCGTGTTTGTGTGCAGGCTCACCCACAGAAGCTCTGATTCAGCCCTGTTCTGGAAGCTGAATTCCACGTGTGAGGTCAGAGCTGAGACAAAAAAGCAACGTCAGCGTTTTTGTTTTTGTTTTTTTCCACACCAGCTTTTTGCAGGGTCTCCAACACGAGGGTATTTCATCCAGCAAATGTTGCTCACGTGCCCCCACATCGCTCCCGTGTGCGTCTGCACTCTTGCATTAAAAGCAGAGACTGGGGGGGGACGTGTTGTGTGTGCAGAGCTCCAGTGTGCAGGGATGGCTCCGTGCTGCCCACGTAACTCAGGCCGTCTGTCCTCTTCTCCCCCAGATAATCCGTGTGCAGTCGCCAGAAGGGGTGAAACGCATCACAGCCACCAAGAGAGAGACGGTGGCCACGTTCCTCAAGAAGGTACTCCAGCTCTCCTCCCTTGCAGGGCTGGCTGTGCTGTTCTGTAATGGGTGGCGTTGCTTAACCTAACTGGGAAAACATGCTGTGGGGATCAGTTCCAAAGGGATAAAGAATCTGTTTAGAGAGGAGAACTTATTCAGCTTTTCAATTGGAATTTTTTGGGATGGGAGCTTTCTTGGGAGAGGTTGTGTGTTTAGTGTGCTCCCAGGGAAATGCCAGCTGTGGAAGCAAAGGCTGACAACACAGGCACTCCAGCTGTTTGGCAGATTGGCCTCTTCAAACGTGATCCAGTTAAAATTCAGCTGCAGGATCTGTGATTTGAATGTCGTTTGGATGAGTTTTGCATGCCACTGGTCTTCCTTTGTAGTTATGGAGAGAGCAAGCAAATGATTGAGGCAAGATCATAAAGCAATGTGAGAGTCTCTGGTGGTCTCATGGGAAAGATTTCCACCCTGGGGTTCGAGGAACACACTGAGTTTTGGAGCTCTCAGATGTGGAGCTGACTGCAGTTTGTTCTTTGGTCTGGTGCAGCTGCTTGGTGTTTGCTGTTTAAGAGGGAGCAGTTCTCCATTTCCTTACCTCCTGGATTAGGATTTCTTTTCTTCACAAGAGAAGTGCTTTGTGTTCCTTAAAGGGCTATTCTTTTGGTCAGCTGGATTTCCTTTCTCCCTGCAAGGGAGAAGGGGAGCAGGCTGAAACGTTCAGCTGTTTGTGAGTCCGTGCTTTGTTTGAAGCTTGGGCCCAGACCACGACAGCAATCCCCTCCTGACCGAGCCAAAATCCAGATGGGTTTCAGGGCTGGGTCAGAGATACCCACTGCAGCCTCTGAAGGGTCTCACCCACGGAAAAAGCATTGCTTTCAGAGCTCCTGGAACCTGTGCAAAGCAAGCTGCTCAGTTTCAAGGGTTTGTATTACCAAAGAGAGTGCAGAACAATTGTGCTTGCCAGCAGCTAACGTCGGAACAAAAGCATTGGCCCTCACTACAGTTGCCTGTTGATCTGGGGAGAACTGTGTCCTCCTGCAGAGCTGAGTGAAGGAGGTGCTTGAGTTTCTTTCCTAGCAGGGGGTGGCTTGGTAGAGTTGTGCTGTGTGCAGTTGGTGTCTCTGAGCTCTACCCAAGCTGCAAGGTTGGCGTTTAACTTAAGAATTTAGGAAGAAGCTTGTCATCTAGAGAAACTTTCAACTCCATTTCTAAACTGGTTAAGTTTTAACATAGCAGAATTTGAAAGTTGAAGAGGCTGTAAATGATATTTGATAAAGAGGAAAGCAGCTTCAGCTGTGCTGCTGACAGGATGAGGTGGAAAAAAGCCTTCCTGGGGGCTGAGACTGAGCAATGGTTTGTGTGAGGATAACTTCTGTCAGGAGAAAATAGGGAACGGGAGGGGGGGGGGGGAGAGAAACAGGCAGGAGGACAGCAGGAAGAGCTTCTCTGAAATGTATGTAATAACAGGTAGGCATGAACTGAGGGCAGAAAAGCCACAGAGACAAAGATCTGGACCAAGGAACTCACTCTGGTGATAGCAAGATGAGAACAACGTGGTTGGTGTGTGCTGGGGGGCTGGAGAGGATCGTTTCTCCCCTTGTAGTCATTGCAGTGCCTGCCTGGGTGGAGATGTTATACTGTTTGTGTTACACGAGTGAGGCACGTTCTGCTTAAGTTGCTTTTTTACTAAATTGCTTGTGTTACTCAGTGCTTCTGTTTCTCTCAGTTATCCTGTGCTCTTCAGAAATGAGGATGAATTCAGCTAAGCTTTTGCAATAGAAGTTCCCTGCACTTAGCGCTTGCTCTGAGCAGCTTTCAGCATCTGACCTGGGGCGAGAGGTATCTTAAACTTTGTCATCCTTTCTCTTTCAGGTTGCAAAAGAATTTGGTTTCAGGAATAATGGGTTTTCTGTCTACACCAATAGAAACAGGACAGGAGAGATCACAGCATCACAAAACAAATCCCTCAACTTACTGAAGATCAAGTGAGTCCTGCCAGAGAGCACCGTGGGTGGAGGGGGAGCTTCGTACAACAGGGTGCCTTTTCTCTAAGCTGGTCTGAACTCTCCCCTCTGAGCTGAGCAGCAGCAGCCACCATCACAGCACAGCAGTCTCCAGCTTCCAGCTGTCACTCGCCAGCTGCTTGGAGAGGCAATCTTGACTGACGTGCAGAAATGGTGGTGGCCAAAACAACTGGGTGTTGGGCTGTGGCAGCTGCTGCTTTGGTTTCTTTTTGCATTGCAGTTTGCTTGTGTGGGTCAACGACAGGCCTCGTGTTTGCTCCCTCATCCCTGCTTGCACCCAAACTGTACTTTTGCTTTTTTTCCCCGTTTTAATGCCAGGCTCTGATAATCCCCTGCGCAGAAGCCAGGTGCCTAGGGAGATCAGAAATGCCAAATGCTTGTTTCACTTTGTGTTTGGTTGGAATGCCTTCATTCTGTTAACATTCAAGGATAACGTTACACTGACTTAAAGCACAAGAGCTGCTGCTGCTGTGTGCAGCTTATTGCTTGATTATATCAGCACTGGGAGTTGCCTTGGGAAGGCTGTGACTCGGTGTGCACAGGAGCCACGTAAATCCCTTTCTCTGGTGGAGCTGCTGCCTCTTCCTGCTTTCTCTTCTTTCTCCCCTGATCTTGTCTCCTGATAAAAAGATGCAAGAGAAGGAGGTAGCTACTGCTCTTAGTAGAGCTGTGTTAGTGTGCCTGCAGCCTGTGATAAATCACATGCTCCTCTGTGATCCAGGAAGTTTGCTACCTAGAAGTAGGCGCTGGAGGAGCGTGGACACTGATGTGGTTTGTAACAGAGCAGCAGATCTGGCACAGGCATTTCCTGTGCTCTGCAGCACAAAGGAGCCAATTGCTGGGAGTGGTTTGGGTGAGGGTCTGGTGTCGTTCAGTCGCTGGTGGAAGGGGTGCAGTGTGAGCCTTTCCAGCTGTCTGAGTGCAGCATGGCTTATCACCTGCACTGCCTCCCCGCTGTATCTGGAAGCAGAGCTGGTGCTGTGCTGATGCCTGTGTGTTTTTCACCCCCTCAGGCACGGTGATATGCTGTTTCTGTACCCCTCGAGCCCAGCAGGCTCATCCTCAGAGACCATGGACACCTCTGTCTCCCAGAGCTTGCGGCCGGTGGGGGCACCCCAGGTGGTGGAAGATGACATTGACCAGTATCTGATCAAACAGGATGGGAAGATTTACCGAAATCGAGACCAGCAGCTGTGAGTACCGACAGGCTGCGTGCTGTCAGTGCATCTGTGCCTCAGCAGACTGTCACATCTTGCCTGAAAACAAGAGCCAGGAAGTGTGCTATGGATCTGCTGTCTGAGCCACTGCTTTATCCTCGCTGCCTTTGAAATATTCACAAGGGAAAACAGCCCTTGCCATTGTCCTGCCTGGTTAAAGTAAGGCTCTGGTGAGCAGAGGAAGGAAGCAGATACCAAAATTCCAGGGGCTTAGCCAGGAAGGACTCATTCAGAGCATCTATTGTTTCGATCGAGGTGGCCCCTGTTAGGAGACTAGC